TGTTCAGTATAGTACTGAAAGTACTTGCAATAGTGATTAGACAAGAAAAAGATATTAAGGACATCCAGATAGGAAAGGAAGAAATCAGTCTCTCACTATTTGCAGATGACATGATACTATACTTAGAGAACCCTAAAGCCTTTACCAAGAAGCTCCTAGAAACAATAGATTCCTATAGTAAAGTCGCAGGCTATAAAATTAATACCCAAAAGTCCATGGCTTTCCTATACGCAAATAACAAGAGAGAAGAAAGTGATTTGAAATAAACAATCCTGTTCACAACCCTGCCTCAGAAAATCAAGTACCTCGGAATCAGCTTACTCAGGAGGTAAAGGACCTGTACAAAAAAAAACTACAAAACGTTACTTCAAGAAATAAAAGAGGACACGAGGAAATGGAAACATATCCACTGCTCATGGATTAGAAGAATTAACGTTGTCAAAATGGCAATATACCCCAAAGCATTATACAGATTCAATGTGATTCCTATATATAAGGATACCCATGAAATTCTTCAAAGAAATGGATCAAACAGTCCTGAAATTCATATGGAACAACAAGGCCCCAGTCGCCAAAGCAATTTGTGGGGAAAAAAAGATGGGAGGCATCACCTTCCCCAATCTCAAACTTTACTACAAAGTGGTAATAATTAAAACAGCATGGTCATGGTCCTCCCATTGTTCATCGATTTGCTCGAGTGGGTCCAGTAACATCTCCATCATAAGACTTGTTGTTACTGTGTTTGGCATATCGAATACGTCACAGGTAGCTTGCCAGGCTCTGCCGTGCAGGCGAAATACTCTCAGTAGCTTGCCAGGCTCTCCGAGAAGGGCAGAGGAATCGAACTCGGGTCAGCCATGTTGGCCGCTTGTAAGGGAAACGCCCTATGGCTGTGCTATTGCTCCAGCCCAAAACAGCATGGTATTGGACAAAAGCAGATCCACAGACCAGTGGAATAGAGTTGAACACGCACTCTTACACACATCCTCAAATATATGATCATCTAATCTTTGATAAGGGAGCAATAATGTGAAGTGGAGCAAGGAAAGCCTCATTAACATATGGTGCTGGCAAAACTGGACAAAACTGGCAAAACTGGTGCCTGCAAAAAAAAAAATGGGCTCAGACCTCTACCTAACACCATGTACAAAAGTCAGATCAAAATGGATTAAAGACCTCAACATCAGATAAGAATCCTTAAGGTACACTGAAGAAAAGGCCGGCAAAACCCTCTATGACATTGAAGCTAAAGGTATCTTCAAGGACGAAATGCCACTGATCAAACAAGTGGAAACAGAGATGAACAAGGCTATCTTAAAATAAAAAGCTTCTGCACTTCGAAAGAAACAGTAACCAGAATACAAAGACATTCTACAGAATGGGAAAGGATATTCACCCAATACCCCTCTGACAAGAGGTTAACATTAAGGATATACAAGGCACTGGTTGTACTCTACAAGAAGAAAACATCCAATCCCATCAGAAAATAGGGCGATGAAATGAACAGAAACTTTCTCAAAGAAAAAATCTGAATGGCCAAAAGGCACATAAAAAAATGCTCTTCATCACTAATCATCAGAGAGATGCAGATCAAAACAACAATGAGATATCATCTCACATCACAGAGACTGGCTCATGTCCAAAAGAACAAAAGCAACCAGTGTTGATGTAGATGTGGGGAGAAAGGAACTCTCCTTCACTGCTGGTGGGAATGCCGACTGGTTCAGCCCTTTTGGAAAACAGTATGCATATTTCTCAAAAAAATTAGATATTGAGCTCTTATTTGACCCAGCAATACCACTCTGGGAATATACCCCGGAGATGCAAAAAAGCACAGTAGAAATGACATATGCTCTTGTATGTTTATTGAAGCATTATTCACAATAGCCAGAATCTGGAAAAAATCCGAGTGCCCAAGAAAAAATGATTGGTTAAAGAAACTTTGGTATATCTACACAATGGAATACTATGCAGCTGTTAGAAAAAAATGAAAATGAAATCATGAAATTTGCATACAAGATATGGAGAATATCATGCTAAGTGAAATGAGTCAGAAAGAAAGGGACAGACAGAGAATGACTGCACTAATTTGTGGAATATAACATAATATGAGACTAACACCTAAGTATAGTAGATATAAAGGCCAGGAGTATCGCTCCATAGCTTGGAAGCCAATCTCATGTGCTAGGGGAAAAGGCAGCTGAGATAGAGAAGGGACCACTAAGTAAATGATGCTTTGAGGGCTTGCTCAGGATGGTAGATGTGTGCTGAAAGTAAACTATGGACCAAACATAATGGCCGCTTAATACCTGTACTGCAAACCATAACACCCAGAGGGAGAGAGAAGAATGTTCCTGACAGAGAGGTGGGGGTGGGGGGAGAGGGGTGGGGGGAGGGATATAGAAACATTGGTGATGGAGAATTAGCACAGGTGGAGGGTTGGGTACTTGAACATTGTCTGACCAAATCGTAATCATGCAAGATGTAAGTCTGTAACTGTATCTCAAGGTGTTTCATTTAAAAAAAATTAAAACAAAACACAGTCGGGTTTGGATGTGATAATGGAAGATACTGAGCTTCTTGGGGTGGCCCAGGCAATCCGCAATACCACAGGGCTGGAGCCCTTGCATGGAACCATTGACCTGGTTGACTTAGAATCTAACAAGTGACCCCTGGTGCACTGCTTTGGAAGAGGAAGGAAGGAAGGAAGGAAGGAAGGAAGGAAGGAAGGAAGGAAGGAAATGTAATTATTATATGCCAGTTCTTGAATCAATGTTTAGGAGCACATGGCAAGACACAACTTCCACAAGGTCCTGAGCTCAAGGTCTTGCAGATGGTGGCGCTCACAATGCCGACTACAATCTACAATGATGACTCTGTCTTTGGGAGAATTTAATGAAGTGCATTTATGTGACTGATGAAAAATTTCTGGAACAAGCAACATTTAAGCTCACCTCTAGAGTTAGTTTTAGTTAACAAAAAAAAGCCTGTCGTACATGCATGAGATCTGGGTTCAATCTCTGAGAAAAATTAAATAAACTTTATGTGCATGTTGAGAAGTATAGTGCATATATTTTGAATTCCTTTATGCTTCACTCAACAAAAAAACTCTTTCACAGTTGTCTGACCTTTCTGAATGCTTGAGTGAACCCAATCAAATCTTTGTTCCTAAAACTTTTTGAACAAATAAATGAAATAAAGGATCCAAGTTGGAATAAATTAAAAACATGTCATTTCTAATTTAGTTCCACAAAAAAAAAACTTATTCCGATTTATCACACCTTCCCTTGGGGAGTGGGGAGGAACTTCTTTGAAGTTTAAACCTATTCAAGCAACTTTCTATGGCATGTTTTTAAATATAGACATTCAAACCAACTCATAGTCATTTTTGCCTGAAGTATTATTTGCATTGAATATTTTTCCTTGCTTTTTCTTTTTTTTCTTTGCTCTGATAGTGTATTACTGCAAAGGTCAGTTAACTCAAATTCAACTTGTTTGAGAGGTTATTTTCCATATTCCTTACATGCCTCTTGCTATTCTCATGAAACTTAATCTTTGTAATTACCTAACCTTTTTGCAGAAAACTTCCTTAATGTTACCTTACTCAAAACAACAACAACACTATCCAATCCGAAGAACTTATACTATGAAGACATCATATAACAAAAAGACAATGTAACAATGGAAAAAAGAGAACTAAATATTGTCACTGTATCACTGTATCACTGTCATCCCGTTGTTCTTAGATTTACTGGAGCGGGCGCCAGTAATGTCTCTATTCGTCCCACACTTGAGATTTTGGCAGCCTCTCCTTACTCGTCTTTCCCAATGTATTGGAGGCTTTTTCAGGGTCAGGGGAATGAGACCCGTTATTGTTACTGTTTTTGGCATATCGAATACACTACAGCTAGCTTGCCAGGCTCTGCCGTGTGGGCGGGATACACTTGGTTGCTTGCTGGGCTCTCCGATATATATATGTACATATATATCATTTCTAATTTAGTTCCACACTCCCTTTAAAAATATATTTCTCTATCAAATATGGTGTGACTATTGTGGAAAATGTGTAGGGAGTGTCTTATGATGTGTCCAGAAATATGTTCACTCATATGTGAGGCTCGGGCCAAGCGTGTGGAAAGTGGCCTGGAGCGAGGCGGTGGTTGGGTAATGGAGGTCAGCTGCTGGGGCTGGGTCCCTTGAGGCGGGAAGGGCTCTCACCTGCCCAGCTCTGGGACGCCCCAAGTAAAAACAGCCTGACGTGGAAACCCATGCAGTTTCTCAGAGATTGTCAAATATTGATAAAGAAGTTCAAATTCAGTTTTCCACTTCTAAGAGATTAATTAGTCTGACAGTTCTAAGTTAGACAGGAGATCTCAGGATTATGTAGACACTGACTTTAATTTAGAGGCAGTGAATTTCTTAAGACTTATTAGCAAGTCTTCTTGGCAATTAAATGAATATAAGTAAGTGTGTGTGTGTGTGTGTGTGTGTGTGTGTGTGTGTGTTTAAGAAAGAAAGAAACTCTTGTTTCTCTGACTTGATTTTTAGCTTTTTTTTTTGTTCTTTAAATTTTGCTTCTTCTTCTAGTCAAAGTAGACAGAGTGTTAACTAGAATTCATCTACCCCACAGACATTGGGGGAGGGGTTGAGGGGTGGGGGTTTATTGGGGTTCTTCGTGGTGAAAAACAAGTATTGGTAAACGGAAATGTGATTGATACTTGCATGACCGAGACCTAAACCTCAAAGCTTTGTAACTTTTCCCACAGTGATTCAATAAAAAGAAAAAAAAAATTTTGCTTCTTCTTGTTGTATCACGGATGGAACCCAGGTCTCATACACGAGAGTATGTGCTTAATCGCTGAACCATATTTTCAGCCCTGACAGCTGATGTTTTATTTCAGAATAGATCAGACATATATCTATTATATTTCTCATCCTAAGACAATGACTGTTAATTAACCTGGCAATAACTATAGTCTATTTTTCAGAGATTTTTCCTCCGCTGTATGACCCGCTTCGGTACCTTTAGCCCACTGGCAAGGACCAAGCAATGGTTTGGGCCCCCGCCTGCTTTGGCATGGGGCACTAAGAGAGGCCCCAGGGACCTGCCATAATCCAAACCCATGCAGATTCTCAGAGATTTACACATGCAATAGAAACCAAGCACCAGCAAAAACTTTGCCTCTTAGCAACAATCAAAATTAGAGGTAGCTCAACGGACTGAGTACAAGCTCTGCAATAGGGTGGCACAGATTAGAATTCCAGCAGCCCCCTGTTCCCAAAGTACCACGGAGAGGTATCCCTGCCCTGAGCTCCGAGAGAGGAATAACGCCTCTTACAAGGCAAAAACACCCTGCCCACCTCCTACTTTAGCCCCAGATTTAGATTTTAATCACTCCTGACAGTGCTCAGGGATTACATGCCGTGCAAGGGATATCTGGGATGGCTGTGTGCAAGGAAAGCACCTTAACCTCTGTAGTATTTTTCCAGCCCATTTTAAAATCTTTTTAGCTTTTAAAATATTTTTCTCCATTAAAAGTAATGCCCCTTTCGGAGAGCCCGGCAAGCTACTAAGAGTATCCTGCCCTCATGGCAGAGCCTCGCAAGCTATCTATGTTGTATTCCATATGCCAAAATCAGTAACAAGTCTCACAGTGGAGACTTGTTACTGTTTTTGGTGCCCACTTGAGCAAATGGATGAACAACGGGAGGACAGTGCTACAGTGCTAAAAGTAATGTATGTAAATTATCAAATAAAGAGATGAAAATAAATGAAAAATATTCACAGAGCTGTAGCCCGAGATAAAAAGCAGTCTTTAAAGGTAAAGAAATGATGGGGCTGGAGCAGTAGCACAGCGGGTAGGGCGTTTGCCTTGCACGCGGCCAACCCAGGTTTGATTCCCAGCATCCCATATGGTCCCCTGAGCACTGCCAGGGATAATTCCTGAGTGCAGAGTCAGGAGTAACCCCTGTGCATCGCTGGGTGTGACCCAAAAAGCAAATTAAAAAAAAATAGAAATTTTTTTTAAAAAAAAAGGTAAAGAAATGAGAATTCAAAAAAAAAAATCAGGGGCCAGAGCAATAGTCCAGTGAGTAGGGCCCAAACCTTTATCCCAACCCGGGCTGGATCCCTGATACTCCATACAGTCCTGTGAGGTTGGGGTGGGGGGGGAAGAGGGGGAAGAAGGGGCTGCGAGAGGGGTGGTAACTTAAGTGAAACGAAGAGAAGAGAGATAGCCAGTTTCTTGTAATCCACCTCTGCCACCCCGGACTGGCTGGGAAATCTAGGACTGATAAAGTCTGCAATCAGCCCCACAGCACGGACCTCAAGTCCCACCAGCCCTGATGTCCACTTGTTCCGCATGGCATGGGAGTGTATTCCACCAACCCATCTCTTGGGGAGCTGTGGACTCAGGCTAAGCAAGTAATTTTTCTTTGCCAAAAGGAAAGTCAGTCCTAGGTCTCACCCAGGCCTGTGGGTCCTTTGTCTTTCTCACAGAAAAGAATTTCAGGAGGAGACAAGCAATAAGGTAAAAACAGATTTTATATGGAGGTTTTCGAGGAAGGAGAAAGAGGGAGAGGAAGAAAGAATTTAGGCCTCTCCAAAGGCAGAGAGCACCGCTGCCCACACCTCAGCATAGATACGAAAGCATCAGGTCCACACCTCAAGAGGGAGCCGTGACAACACCATGCCTGCCACGACACCCATGCACAAGAGGCGCACAACTCAGATGGCACATGTGCATGCTTTGCTTCCTCTGCCCAGTTGGCTTTTACAGGATTTCTACCAAGCTGCCCGATGTGGAGCTTTCTACTGGAGTCCGTTGCTCTAGGGGGAGAGTTGCAATTAGCTGATGGTCCTTGAAATTCCTTCTGAAGTCAGGGCCCCCACAGGTGGTTATGTGAGGTGAGGAGGAGAGAGAGACAGACACGTCCTCCCCATCCTCCTCTGCCACCTAGGACTGATCAAGTCTGCAGACAGGTCCTGCACAGCATGAGCCAAAGCCCCACTAGGTGTCTGTCAAGTCACACCTGATGTCTCCTTGGTCTTTTCCACATGGGAGCTAATCCCCACCACCCAGTTTCTCAGGATGCTGTAAACTCAGGCTGGTATTGTACTTTGCAGGAAAGGAAAGCCAGTCCCAGGCCTTACCCAGCCCTTACAGGTCTTTGTCCTTGTGAGGTTTGCTAGGACAAAATGGTAACCTGGACCAAATTGTGCCCAGCTGATGCAACAGCACCATTCCTGGATTCAGGGATCACCTTGTCCCCAGCAAGAGAAAGATGGCCCATCTTTCTCAGGGCTGATGGCCCATTGTGTAAACTCACACAAAATAGGGGGCACGGCACCCACAGCGGCGGTGGCTCTATCTCTCCCGCCACCCGCGTTCGGTAGTCTCACCCTTCTCCCACCCCGGAGAGGTCGATGGCGATGGTCAGGCAGAGGAAGGAACGAGGGCCAGGCTGGTAGGTATTAGTCGTAGTTTATTCTGATTCTCTCCTCATCTGTCTCTGCTCCTGTATCTCTCTGTCTCTCCTCATCTCTCCTGTCTCTGCCCCCCATTCTTCCTCCCCCAGCTACTTCATACTCCTTCTCCATCCTTCATCCTCCTCTTCCTTCTGATCCTCTCTGAACCTCTGCTTCTTCCTTCTCCCCCCAGCCCGCTCCTACAGTACAGTTAAATCCTCTCTCCATGAGGAATTGGGGAAACAATTACATATAGGTGCGGTCACAATCAATAGGGGTAGAAATCTTAGCCTCAGGGAAGGCCGCTCCTAGGACAGATCCTTCCTCAGCAGGAGGACCCACCCTAGAGCATAATCCCATGGGCGTGCCTCTCCTCTCCTTGTCTGACAAGCATACAAGAATATAATATAAATCATTTTGTATGGATACAGTAAGAAATATCTTAAACTTATAGAATTGCTCTCCTAGGGCCATCTCGATCTCAGACTAAGGTGCTCAGGCCAGATAGTCTTTCCCACCCCTAGCAGGATCCTAGTCTTGTCGTTACCTTTGGATCATGACAGCATTTGTCTATGATCAAACTCTTAACTTATAGTTAAGAATCGTGGCACTTTGGCCTGGCCCATTTCGCTGCCAGAGTAGCTCACTGCTTGCCCTGGGTCCATTCAGTCCCTCGTCGGGACCCTGCTTTGGGGGTGTTAGGAACTAAGGGAAACTGAGGCTTTAGTCGAGAAAGCAGATGCCCGGGAGTGAATAATATTCAAGGCCAATCAAATCCTAAGTTACAAAGCATAATGTTAACGGTCTTTCTGTATCTATACAAAAAGGATATTACTTAAGGTAAACTATTCATAAGGCATAAGGAGAAGAGAAAGGCATTATTTCACTTATACATATAAAATCATAGATTTCTGGGAAACTGATCTTACAAATTAACAAAGTCTGATTAAGGGGAAAGCTGATTAACTGGGTGGGAAGGAGAGCATAGGGAAGACTGTTTACAGATAAACACAATGGAAGTGGAAGTGCTTCAGGAGCACTGTGATGGGTGTAACCAGATTGATGGGTGTAACCAGATAAATCTAAGCTTCTTGTAGAGGGATTTGGCAATGTTACCCAACAGCCCATCTGGCGACAGGAAGCCCCCAGGCCACATTCCATGCTCCCTCTCATCCCACCCCTACAGGTAACAGGCCAGGCCACACACACACTGGTCCCACTGGTCTTGGTTCCCTTCTCCCCTTTTCCTGCCCAAGACGACTTAAAAACCCCCTTAGTCTCTCCTAGGACATGGCCCTACCCCAGCCCGCCCAGGAGTGCACCCCAATAAACTTCTCCTACTTCCTTAATTTGATTTGTCTCTGTCCCTCTGTCTGCAGAGAACAGGGTTCCCAAATCTATCAGTCTTACCTCACAGAAAAGAATTTCAGGAGTAGATGAGCAATGAAGCAAAAACAAATTTTATTTGGAGGTTTTGAGGAAGGGAAAGGAGGGAAAGAAAAGGTGAGAGTAATGTGTTTAAGAGAGGAGGTGGGCTTCTCCAAGGACAGAGAGAGCCCAGGACACATCTCAAGAGGGGAGACATGGATACCACATGTGCTCGGCTGCATGGGTCCAAGCACACAAGGGCTCAGGCAGCATATACCCGCCCTTCCTTTGGTCAAGGTGGCTTTCATAAGGTTTTTTCCCAAGATGCCCCACATGGGGTTTCTAGCTAGGTAAGAGAAATCCAGGTAAGAATTGGTCACTAGGGTGGTTGCCAAGGGGGGGCAAATTTGGGATGACTTTCTTTGAAACTCCTTTTCTTGACCTTTGTTCCCATTGTACCTTGTCTTGAGGGTTGAGTCCAGCCTTCTCTGCTCTGGGCTAGCTCTGGGTAAGGGTCTTATCCAGTGTTAGTTGCTGTAGCCACAGTATCCACAAGATGGGTTCTGATGGCCATAAGGCTAAGTGGTTTGACCACCACTAGGAATTCCAGTTTTGGAGGGCCCTTCCCTAATCAACCTGCCTACATTCCTTTTTTTTTTTCTTTTTGGGTCACACCCAGCGATGCTCAGAGGTTACTCCTGGCTCTGTACTCAGGAATTACTCCTGGTGGTGCTCAGGGGACCATATGGGATGCTGGGGATTAAATCCGGTCAGCTGAGTGCAAGGCAAACACCCTCCCTGCTGCGCTATTGCTCCAGCCCTACATTACTTTGTTGACCTTTGTTCCTGCTGGAGCTTCTCTCAGAAGAGGGTCCAGCCTTCTCCTGTCTGTGCTGGCTCCAGGTGAAGGTCTTATCAGGCCTTAGCTCCTGTGGCCATAAGGTGAGTCCTGATGGTCTTCGGGCTAGGGCTAATTGGCTATTACTTCCCAGGAGGCTCATTGCCTTGGGGCCCTTCCCTCTCTACCTGTCTGCCTCAGTCCCCTGAGCTCTGCCAGGGGAAAATCCTTAGCACAACTCAGTGTGCCTTCCTCCCTGTCCCGCCTCAATTTTTTTAACTGAATCCTGTAAATTGTACAATGTACAAGATATGAAACAAGCCTCCATTGGAACTTAACTCTTAGGGGAATAACAAAGGCCCAGAGGCAACATAAACAAAAAAATTGAAGAACTGCTCTTCAGGGACGATAGCACAGTGGGCATTTGCCATGCACACAGCCGACCAGAGTTCA